AGGCACCGGATCAAAGCCTGAGGCACCGGATCAAAGTCTGAGGCACCAGATCAAAGCCTGAGGCACTGGATCAACACCTGTAAAAGCTGTAAAGGATTCCAGGACTCTCACCTGTGAGGAAGGAGTCAAGCACGGGTTCGCTGCTCTGCTCTCCCCTCTTAGCTGCCAAGGACACCTGGTACTGCGTGTCGGGGCTGAGCCCGGCCAGGTGGTACTGGCTCTCAGCAGACGGTAGCTCCACTACATTCCGATCTCCAGGGTTAAAGCTGGGCCAGACGGAGACGCTGATGCCATCCACATGGGCCACAGGCTGGAACCAGGTGATGAGCGCCGTGGTGTCCGTCACATCCCGTACATCCACCTGACTAGGAGCATCGATCACTGGAAGAAAGACATCACTGTCACCATGACAACACACACCTCATGCATACATTTCTGTTGTTCATCATACTTCCTGGCCTCTAATAATCCAAGCTGTCTGCTCTGAGGAAAGCAGATGTTCTATTAGAAGCTCTGTCCATGGTCCTGCTGCAGAGACTTATCAAGATTAATCAGGATCTTTGGACTCTGAGCTCAAACTGCTCCTACAGTCCTCTCTCTATCTGGTTTTTCACACTTGGAATATTAAACTGAAGACTTTTGACAGCAAATCTAATGAATGAAGGGGTGCAGGCTAAAGTTTAGGGGTGGAGGAGTCCGTCTACATATTATTCTGCCTATAATATGTTTAGCATATTAAAGGCAGAATGAATTATGCTAATAACAGAAATATGAAATCCCAGCACCGTGAAGGTTAACTTTCCTCTGCCTCGGAGGCAAACAACTCTCCGAAAGTGATCCCTCTGTACAAGGCTGATAACTGCTGTGAGCTGTGACGTAGCTGGCAGCAGAACCGCAGGAGTGTCATTGGGGTGTAGAGTTAGCACTCTCCTGGGAGGGTGGAGTCCCTCTGAGCACCACTGCTTCATTCACCTGTTTCTCCCAGACACAGAGGGCTGTTTTCAAACAGGGAGAGCTCACTATTCACCATTCACTAACCCCCTATTCCCATTCTCTAGACCTCACTATTCACTAAACCTCACTATTCCCATTCTCTAGCCCTCACTATTCATCCCCCTATTCATCATTCTCTAGACCTCACTATTCACCCTCATATTCTCATTCTCCAAACCTTACT